GTTAGCGACAGAGATAGTCGCTTCACTAGCCAAAACTGGCAGGAACTGATGAGAGTCTATGGATCCAAGTTGTTGATGTTGTCTGGCCGCCATCCAGAGACTAACGGTCAGACTGAGCAGATGAACAAGATCCTGCAGCAAGTTTTGCGCATGTATATTAGACCCGATCAAGTCAATTGGGACGAGATGTTGCCCAAGGTAGCCAGTGCGTACAATAACAGCGTGCACTTGTCCACTTGTCGCACCCCCAATGAGTTGCACAAGTCCTTTAGACCGCGCAGACCGTTTGAGGGACTTAACCGGGATCAGATTCACAGGCTACCACCCGGTACCAGGGAGTTCGCGATACAGCACGAGAAAGAGATAGCCACTGTTGTTGAGAACCTCAGGAAGGCCCAACACCGGATGATAGAACAAGCTAATAAGCATCGTCGCCCATCACAGTTCCAAGTAGGCGATTTAGTCTGGGTCAATTCCAAAGAGCTTGCTCCTGAGGAAAACATCTGGCAGAAGTTACTGCCCGCGTATAGAGGAACGTAGCCGGTTCTAGAAGTAAAAGGCGGAGAGGATGGGCCGTCCTACACAATAGATATACCAGCACACCTCCATACCAGCCCTGTGTTTCACGCATCAAAGTTACTGCCGTGTGTCACAAGTCAACAATTTCCATCTAGACGGTCCATGATCCCTCCGGACATGGACGGAAGGTACGACATTGACGGCATCGTAGGTGAAGATGTGTTTAGAATAGGAGGTAGAGGTCGTCCATAGAAACAGTATAAGGTCCGATTTGCTTATCAGGAGCCAGAGGACGGCCGCTGGTTTACGAGAACAGAACTTCTAGAGACAGTTCCCGACATAGTTAGAGCCTATGAGAGAGATAAGAAAGGAAAAGGTCCTGCCTTGGACTGAGTTATTCTCGGAGGACCTCGAATTTAGGCCGGCGGGAGTGAAACGGTATTCACCAGTTCGCAGTAGTCGATGCAGATCCCAGGGCTCGATCCCTAGACCTCACCTTACCTGTGTACAGTACTCTGTGTCGACCCCGAGAATTGAACCCGTGACCTGTGTATTTCTAACAGTTGGTAGACTGTCGTAGGGTCCGTAGGTAGCAAGGGTTCGATCTGTAGACATGTCGTGTAGAAGTCCTAGGGAGTTCTAGAAGTTGTAGCCGTAGAACTTCTGAAAGGTCAAGGTCGTAGCTGCTACAGTCCTGAAGGGTCAAGTTCGTAGCTGCTACAGTCTTCGAAAGGCCAGGACCCAAACTTCCTGAAGGTAGTAGTGGCCTTTCGAAGTTGCTCACGTTTTGGCTGAGGCAAGTGGGCAAGTGGTGAGCCCAACTGCAGTACGTCAGCAGTGCGACTGCATCGAGTTGGCAGTGCAAACCCATGCAGTCAGCAGTACCGGTCCCAGTCAGTCCTAGTCCAGTCAAGCAAGTGCGGCATGGGACTGTGTGCACCACAGGCAAGGGAAAGGGCCAGACCAACGAGCTACAGAAGTATAAATCAAAGGGCAGCGTCCAACCATTCATTCATTCCTGCGTGAGCCATGCAGAAGCACTGCCACAGCGACTTGTGCGAGGTGGTCTGCAGTGAGCCCGAAGATGAAGTGGGCGAGAGAGAAGGAGCTTAGCCATAGTGATAGGGTAGTAGCGGCCATAGCCGCCATAGCTGTAGATAGAGTGTAGCATGTGTGAGAGTGTGTGTGTGTGTACAGAGCATCGCGTGTGGGATATCTAGGGTGATCCTGTGTGTGCGAACAGAGAGTTGTGTGGGCGTTGAGTCGCCATATGATGGCCCATATCCATTGAAGTGAACTTGTACCTAAACTGTGTTCTTGGCTACCATATCTTTGAGTTTCGAGTGGGCGCTTGTCGCCAGTTTGCTGCGCACCTGTTTGCATACATGTGAAGTGCGAAAGATAGCGAGTCTGATTGCAGGTTAGTTCATTCGGGATTCTTCTTGTTGGTGGGGCGACAGGCACAACACCACTTCCCTTTCTTCCATCATGACGTCGTAATCTCCCCTTCTCTAACCGGCAACGTGTTGACTGGCTTGCCCACTTTCGGTGGAATACTGATTTGTATTCTGCAGTAGCATGTCATAAAAAGCAATTGCAACAGCTAGTTACTGCCACCGCAACTGAGCGCTTTGAATTACAACTATGAGGTATTGACCAACAGCTGCTCCAACCAGGTAATGATCCCCTTCCTGTTGTTGGAGTCGTGTATGCTGTTGTGCATATACCCTTTGGGCGTTTGTATGTTGGGTAGACAGTCCATACTGCACATCAACGTTTGAAGGAGCATTGGCATGTGCGACATTTTGTTGTCGATTATTGTCATCGACATCTCTATCATGTTATGTGACAACAGTCTCCTTTCAATTTTGTTGTTTGGCTGCTTGAATGCATTGATCGTGCACTCTACAGTAATGATTGCGGTGAGATTGATTATGCCCTTTTTCGGCGGGCGGCCTCACCTAGAGAAGGCTTCTGGGTCCGACGGCGGGCTTCAATGCAGTTCTGCCTACATTTCGATTACCGCCTGCTCAACGGCAGCCACGCCCTGATCGCTGGCGGCAAGTTGGTCCTTCCTCTGCTGCTTCTCCTCACTCTGGTGCTTCTCCTCACCCGTCTCCGCCTGTCGTATCCCCTCGGGCCTGTTCCGTTGATATTAGCCTGTGCCCTCAACTTGCAGTACATACAACGTTACGACGTTTATTGTCATCAGGCATAGCGTGTACTCGGTCCGAAATTGTTGCTTTCGTTCAGTGGGCTATGCCACGCCTGCTTGGCGTGCTTACTCGCTGCAATGGCTGTATATAAATGTTTCTAATGCTGCTGACATGACTGCGGACGTCCGTGAACTTGAATGCATTATTCGGCGATTTCAACAGGTCCGACAGCGATATATCGCCCATTCCCGTGACACCTTCGGAAACTATATTAGGATTGTACGTATGCACGAGATCCTGAAGGCCGCTAAGTTGCGCCTTGTGTTTCATTCTCCGGATGTGTGTGCATTGCACCCTGACCCTCAGGCAGCCAGCTCTATTTGCATCCATGACAAACTTGTACCCCCAACAAGGGTGCAATTTTATAATTTTACGGAAGTTCCCTCGAGTGTTACTCCGGGCCTGCGCCTTCCTGCTGCTGCTGATTGTCCTTGTCGTCAGGCCTTTCCTAACTGCACCGATGTGGTTGACGGCCATGTTGTTTCCGCCAACTATGATCTGATTCGAGATGCTAACCTTCGCCGCCTATTCTATGAGGGCTCTAAATATCGATTGAATGGGGTAGTGGGGGATATACTTGAAGCACTAGCTGTTGGTATTGATGAGTATATTGTTGCATATCTTCGTTCGACATCACGACAATCCTGCGCTGCTACCCTTGCTCCACAATTGGCTCTTTGGTGTGCCGCAGATTTGCATCACTGTGAGTCCAATATAGCTGCCGCATCACCTTTTCGACAGCCTCGCTCTTTGCGACACACACATACAGCCCTGCATCAGCTCCAGACTCCTTTGCGATTGTTCCTGTGGACAAAACATCACACAATCTGGCTATTTGCTGCAAAAACAGGTATCCCTTCCGTCTTTCTGCTCGTCTTGACAGTCCTACGTATTCTCGGCCCACTGAAACAGCGGTCGACATTCTGAATAGCCATGCACTTTGGAACAATCACTGGAATTATCCCCATGCTGAGACATTGTCGTATCTTTATTGCACTCTTAAGGCCCATAAGTCTCCTCCTACACTCGGTACTGTTATTGGTATCACTGCCCACAACAATCTTTCTTTCTCATACGGCCTAGCGACGTGACCTGCCCCTCTCCCAATGAGTCCAGCGTTTGCATCACCGACCGCCTCACAAGCCTGTTGCTAGTACAACACCTACCTCGGCTTGTTTGAGTGCGGCACTTCAAGGCGTCATCCGTACTCTTTGCAAAAAAGATAATCAACTCTTCCAATTCGAAAATATTCAACGATGTTGGATTGTCCAGAGAAGTGACGAGGTCATGCTTGACCTCAAAAAGAACAAAGTTGTCATGCTTGACCTCAAAAAGAACAAAGCTTCTCATCAACAAATTCTTAACAATGTTGCTAAGGCCGTTGATGAGGCACATGCCTATGCTCTTGCACAGGCACGGCAGCATACACGGACACACTCATCCTGTGTTGCTCTTCGTGTGGTGGTCCGTGGACCTCGTGCAGGGGAATGGACGACTGATATGGGATCTGACACTCTTTCTGTGTCTGACATTCTTCAACATCTTCGTTTTATTGTTAGTAATACATATCTATATACAGCGGATGGTCTTGTTCGTCATCAAGATGTTGGCATTCCTATGGGTACAAACGCTGGTCCTGAGATTGCTAACCTTACACTCTATTGGGATGAGGCGCAATACGTGGACAACCTGCAGCATGTAGATCCCTCTGCAGCTCGCCGATATGCTTTCGTTTATTGGTTCATTGATGCTGTCTTTACCTGTGGTTGTCTGCCACCATCGCCAACTTATTATGATCTTGAATGGAAGGAGACCAATGAGGTTGATAGCTCGTGCACCTTTTTAGGCGTGAAACTGCAGACACGAGTAGACGGATCTCTCCGATTGAGTGTGTTTGATAAGACTGTTGCATGGGATTTTCTTGTTATACGATATCCTAGTGCAACGTCAAACATTCCATCTCATCAGCCTGCAGGTGTGTTCACTTGCCAGCTTATGCGGTTTGAGCAGATTTGTGATAATTGGCATGATTTCATAACTGAGGCAACCATGCTTGTCCGCCGTTTGCTTTCCCGTGGCCATGCTCCTTCGACATTGGCCCGAGGATGGATTTGTTACTGTTGCTCACCAGCATCGACACCCTATACATGTGACTTGTCACTTTCTAGTGCCCATCGGCGCCGCCTTTCGGGGTTTCCTTAGGGACCGATTCACTCTGCGTAGATTGACTAAACGCAAAAACCCTTGAACTTTTGACGATCATGTTTTTCACCTGATTTTTTGTTACTCATGTCAACATTCTCACTTCTGATATCTCCAGTTGTTTTCACAAACAGCCTTCTTCAACTTACAGAACGTTTACGCAATGCTTCCGCCGTATGCTTTGCTTGTCCGTGCATGATCCTCTTTCACCTTCTCCTCCTCTTTCTTTCCCTTCTCCTTCTCCCTCTCCCCCTCCTCCTCCCCTTTCCTCTTCTCCATCTTCTCATCCTCCTCCCCCTCTTCCTCCCCCTTCTTGTTCATCTTCCCCTCCTCTTTCTTCCCCCTCCTCTCCACTTCCCCCTTCTCCTCCTCCTCCTGCTTCTTCCCCTTCCCCATCCCCTCCCCCTCCCTCTCTTTCCCCTTCCTCTCTGCCAGCATCCTCTCCTTCTTTGTCATCTCCCCCTTCTTCTTCTTCTTCTTCTTCTTCTTCTTCTTCTTCTTCTTCTTCTTCTTCTTCTTCTTCTTTGTCGTCGTCGTCGTCGTCGTCGTCGTCGTCTTCATCTTCATCTGCCTCCTCTAGTTTGTCTTTCTCTTCCCCACTCCCGCTGAGATCGTCTTCGTTGTCCATATTGGGACGTCGACAAGTTCGTTAATTCTCTCCTCCTCCCAGTTCCCCTTCCTCTCGACGTCGTGTTGATGCTAATCTGCCTTTGTCTTACCAACAGCCTGCTCTGCCACGTCGACGACATTCGTCAATCACGCGTCGACCACGCCAGATCAGACCTGGCTTTCCAGTGGTGACCGATTCGGATCTGCGGGCAGATCTACCAAATGCTTGTGGCTTGGCAGCCACAAATGTCTGCCTACAGGGTTGTCAGCGTCAATGTTATACTGCATCTCATTTTTTTACGATTGCTTAACAGCTTGACACTGTTGAAAATCAGTTGTTGTTAGACCATAATGGTCCACCTCCTGAGCGTAGTAACTATACTACCTCAGAAGGCTTTACTGTAAATGTCTTACAGTTAGCATTCCACGGTTGCCACCTTCTTATGTATCATGCGACAGCAGGTGATGACCTTAATGACCGTCCTCATATTTCTGCCTGCATTTGCACAGACCCGGGCATTATATGGCACTCATTCGTGCAGCTGCCCAGTGGGAAGTGTGGGATGGTGGGACGATGATTCAGGTTATTTTCAACATAAATGAATTTTTGTGTGCATTGCCCAATCATATTTTATTTTGGATTATTGACCGACTCTAGTGTGACACCTGTTGGGACAGGGACGCGGTGCGCCTTGGCTGTGGAATTCATCATCTATGTCGTCACCATCATCAATCTATTGCGGTTGCCACTGTCTGTGCCGAAGGGTGTCCAACTTGTACACATTCCTATAGCCCAGATATTCGTTGTCCCTTTTGTGCACAAGGACGCTGCCAGGACTGCATGATTTCGCACTCCGATGAACGTCCTGCTGTTTTTTTGACATGTGGACAACATGTCCTTTGTCAGGACTGTTTTGATGGGATGGTTCGTTCTAGCTGTCCTATTGAATGATGTGCTGGTGTGGCTCTCCTTGGGTATCCTTGTGAGCATCCACTTCATCCTCAGTGTGGCTGTCCTATCTGCCAGGGTGGGGGCTCCTCTTCCTAACTGGTCAATATAGTCAAGCACGTCAGGAGTAACACTAATTGTAGGACAGATAAAGCTTTCGACACTACCAACAGATACGGAGGTGAAGAAAGAAGAAAGAAAAAGTTGAAAAAATAAAAAGAAAAGAAAAAAAGAAAAAAAGAAAAAAAGAGAGAAAGAACACATTGCTGAAAAAAAAAAGAAAAAAAGTTGAACTATGTTGTGACATTGGCAATTGGTTTATCTGTGTGATGTGTCATTTGTTTTGTTTGACTGATAGGCCTTCCTCTTCCCTTGTCCTTTCTTTGATTGAATCCCTTTCTCTTTTTCTTGACTCTGTCAGGTTTGGTTTCCTCCTGCTTTTCTTTACCTCTTTGCCTTTTGGCTGCGTGCAAGTGGGTCCTTGTGACACACGGGGATGGGGGCAGCCAACGCTTAACATTTTTATCCACGTGGCTGGCCTTGTACGTAAGAGGTGATGAACAGGTGGAGCTTTCCTTCCTTCTTTCCTTTTTTTTGTTTTGTCTTTTTCCGCCTTTGCGCCCCAATTCACAGTGTGACAATATATATATATATATATATATATATATATATATATATATATATCTGATGAGTCGATGAAACTCCGACGAAACAGTTTGTCACAACCCCTCGTTTGTTGTCCTCTTCTCCCTCTCTGCCTATGGTTTACCGGGCAGTTCTGTTTGACGGTATATATAGTCAAACAGAGCTGCCTGGTAAACCGTAGGCAGAGAGGGAGAAGAGGACAACAAACGAGGGGCTGTGGCAAACTGTTTCGTCGGAGCACACACACACACACACACACACACACACACACACACACACACACACACA